ATCCTGCAAGCCGCATAGTGTGGACAAAAAAATAAAAATTAAACAATTTTTAATTTTTAAAATGGAAACATTTTGAATTAAAATATTTTATTTATTTTAAAAATTATGTATTAAAAATTTTACTCTGGAAAATTCAAGGCTGCAAAAGTAAAAGAATAATGTAATAAGCCCACGTGGCCAACCCCCCAGCCTTCGTGATCTTCATATGATTGTTTCCTCATCTCCACCCACTTCCTCCTCTGTCTGAATCTCAGTGGCACGTATTTTCATCTGTTAGTTTTCCAGAGTATATCTCTGGAAGGCAAGGACTCCCTTTTTTAACCTTGCCACAGATAGGCTTCACGAGTTTCAATAATTTTTGTTGTAGTAAAATGCATATAATTTACCATCAGCAACATTGAGTACATTCACAATGTTGTGCAACCATTAGCTCTAATTCCAGAACATTTCCATCACCCCAAAAGGAAACCCTGTCCCCATTAGCAGTCATTCCCCATTCCCCCTTCCACAGCTCCTAGTAACCACCAGTCTGCTCTGTCTTCATGGGTTGTTTTTGAGGTGTAATTTACATATAATAAAATGTACCCATTCTAAGTGTTCAAGTGGGGCTTGGGGTATCACACCCAGGTTACCACCACCATCAAGATATAGAACATTCCTGGGCTTCCGTGATGGTCCAGTGGTTAAAAATCTGCCTTGCAATGCAAAGGATCCCGGTTCAATCCCTGGTCCAGGAAGATCCCATATGCCGAGGGGCCACGTGCACCACAACTGCTGAGCCTGCGCTCTAGAGCCCTTGAGCTGCAGCTCCTGGAGCCCACCTGCCCTGGAGACAGTGCTCCACAACCAGAGGAGCCACTGCAGTGAGAAGCCTGTATACCTCCGACAGAGAGCGGCCCCTGCTAGCCACAGCCAGAGAAATCCCGTGCACAGCAACAAGACCCGGTACAGCCACAAATACATACATAAATCAATATTTGTAAAAGTTGGATTGATCATTTAAAAAGATATGGGACATTCCCATCTCCGCAGGGACCTCTCCTGCCCCTCTGCTGTTAGTGTCCCTTCCCTCCGCCCCAGGCCCCACTGATCTGCCTTCTTCTACTCAGTCAGGTCACCTGTCCGCAATAGGTGCTCACTGTTTCCAGGATGAGTGATGGAAACTGTGCCTCCGTACTGGCTGCCAGGAGGGGACAGGATTCTGGGCTCCATGTTCAGGGATGTGAATACAATCATTCAACCTCTGTTTACAGAGCACCTACTATGTGCCAGGCTCCTGGTCAGATGCAGAGGGTGTTGCTTCCTCTGGGCCCCCTCACCAGGTTGCTGCAAACAGCGGCTTTGAGAGGGGAACGCTCCAATTGCACATATTCACTTACAAGGATCCATTCAGCCACCAAGAGTAACAGGGCAGGCACCCAAAGGGACCTGGCGGGCAGGCACCTGCCCAGGACTCCTTTGCTGCCTGTCCCCATCGCTGGCCCCCAGACAGAGAGGCCTTGCCCCAAGACCTTATTCATGTGTGGCTGCCCCAGCCTTTGCCAAGGATCTGACCAGGGCCTGGCCAGCTGCTCCCTTTGGTTGCGAGGTTCAGACCTGGCCTGGAGCCCCAGACCCTCCTCCCTTCCTCCAGGTGTCCCATGCGCTTATTTGCGGCAGGCTCACTATTCTCCAAGAGGATGAACCTTGGTCTGTCTCCTCCACTGCTGTTTCTCTTGGGCCTAGAATGAAAAAGACAGAAGCCCTGCCTACCAGGAGCAGGGAGAGACAACTCAGAGGCAAGTGGTGAATGAGTAAACTGCATCTGGCATTTGTGTGTATACATGTGTGTGTGTGTGTATGTGTGTGTTAGTTAGCTCAGTCATGTCTGACTCTGCGGCCCCATGGACTGTAGTCTGCCAGGCTCCTCTATCCATGGAATTCTCCAGACAAGAATACTGGAGTGGGTTCCCACTGCCTTCTGCAGAGGATCTTCCTGACCCGGGGATTGAACCCAGGTCTCCTGTATAGCAGGCAGTTTATCATCTGAGCCACCAGGGAAGCCCTTTAAAGATCTTAAGTCCTTGTTAAAAAACAAAGTCGGAGGGGACTTTCCTGGCGGCCCAGTGGTTAAGACGTCACACTTTTACTACAGAGGCTGTGAGTTTGATCCCTGGTGGGGAACTAAGATCCCACATGCTTTGAGGCGTGGTCAAAGAACAATAATAATAAAAAGCAGGACGGAGTTCCCTGGTGGCCTAGTGATTAGGAGTCCATGCTTCCACTGCCATGGCCCATGTTCAATTCCTGCTTGGGAAAGTGACATCCCACAAACCATGCAACGCAGCCAGAAAACAACGAAGCAGGGACCCGAGGGGGAAGAGGAGGGGGTGATGCAATAACAGATGGGGGTCCAGGAATGGCCACCTGAGAGGGTGGCATTTGAGCCAAGACCTTACAGAGGTGGGGGGGGAGCCACTTGGATGTTGGGAGAAGAGTGGTCCAGGCAGAGGGCAGAGCCTGTGCAAAGGCCCTGAGGTGGGAGCATGCCAGGTCTGTTCAAGCAACAGCAAGGAGGCTGGAGTGAGTGAGTGAGGGGGAAATCTGTGGGGAGGATGGAGGGGCAGGAGGGCTGGTCTCCATCACCACTGGGTCTCTCTAGGCCTGGCACACAGTAGGTGCTCACCATTTGGGGATGAATGGAATAGTCTGTGCTGGCTGCTAGAGAGGGCAGGCACACCAGGTTCTGAGTTCAGGCAAGAACGCAGTTATTCAGTTTCTGTTTACTGAGCACCTACTACATGCTAGGCTCCTTGGCTGGAGCAGATGTAACTTCCCTGGCTGCTCATAACCCTGGAGAAAACGGACTCACAACAGGGTGGCCTCACACAGGAGTTTTGATGGGGGGGCGGGGCTGCGGGTAAAGGGGATTAGGGAGGGCTCTTGGGGTGGACAAGAGAACATTCCCTGAGCCCAGCCAGCACCCAGTCCAGACTGACCCCCTTTGAGAATGTGATGGGGGAGCAGTGGGCCCAAGCCCTGGAGGGCTCCCTGGGGGAGGTGGTGAAAGGAGTCGCCAGAGAATGAGCAAGCATGTAGGCCTGTGTATAGCTCAGTGTGCTGGCAGGTGACATGTGTGGAGGTGCTCTAGTTGAGCCAAGTCACAAGGGCCACAGAATCCTGGTCCCTTCCCAGGGGCAGCTAGAGGGGCCTTCCAGGGACTCTCAGGATGTGCAGCTTGACCCAAACAGGAAGTCTCATAAATCTCTCAGAACCCTGACCTCTTGTTTTTAAAAACTGCAGATGCAGGTGGCTGTGTGGATCCATCCTCTCCTCTAACAGACCTTCCCGGCCCACCCAGGACCTTGTCTTCCTCCATTCCCCAGGTCCAGTCCGACCCCAGGGCCTTTGCACTGGCTGTGAGCCTGGCTTTACACTCACACCACTGCTTTTCACTTCTGAGGCCCTGCACAGGCCTTACGTGCCTGGCTCTCTCCAGGGCCACCGGTGCCTCCATTCTGCCCCACGTCACTCTGGCTGAATCATCTGTCACAGCCTTGTCATCATCTAGCACGTTCCTCACGCTCCTTCATTTATGTAGACGGGGTTTCTCTCCTGGGAAAACTATGAGCCTCAAAGGGTTGGATCTAGTCGTCTTTGAGCCAAGAATGCCCAGCGTGCAGTAGATGCTGGTAGCAAGAAAAAAAGAAATCCTGAAACAAAACAAACAAAAATAAAGCCAACTAGATCTTCTAATTAAAATATAAATAAAGCCAATTAGATCTTCAAACTGAAAAAAACAAACACAGTAGGCCCTGATACATATCAGCTGCCTTCATGAATTAGGGACAGAGGGAATGAATGAATGAATGAAAATGCTGAGGTCTGTTGTGGATCTGTTGAGTCTGAGGAAGCCACTGCAGGGAATTAAGGAAGCAGCACAGAGGAAGCAGTAGGGACACAAAGGATGGTTCTGATAACCAATTTGACACTGAAACTGGTGGGACACAATAGCCAGATGAAGGCTCAAGAGGGGGCAGAGTCAAGACCACTTGTATTGGTCAGGGCAGAGGAAGCTGCTGTTAACAAACAGGTCTTCACTCATCAGTGGCTTAACTCAGCACAACGTTACCTCTCAGGGCCAGGGGCTCTGGATGGTGGGGCAGGGAGCCAGATAAAGCCAGGACACCACTTGTTTCTTGAGCTCCTACACTAGGAAGTTCTGGCTTTCTCGGTTCTGTGATCTAAAAGCCATCACTTTTGCTTTAAACAATACAAACAAGTTCAAGTCTCACTCATCTCATGGCCTGGCATCAGTGATGGCTGCTCATCTCGACAGGGTCATTTCGGAGACTGGCTCCTTCTCCTGGAGTTCTCCTTTCCCCTGGGACCTCTGATCGCCTTGTATCCTCTGTCGGGGTGGGGGGGGGGGGCGGGAAACAGAGGAACAAGACATCTGCCATTAGGGCCTCTCACTAGCCTGTCTCCTGGCCCACCTGGGGCAGAGGCAGCTCGCCTGCTTAGGTGGGGCACCCGAGCTGGATGACTCAGCCGACTCAGCCTAGTGCCATTCAGAGACTTGGGAGTGGAGCAGCCACCCAGCTCAGGGATGAACCCCAGGGCCCAGTTGAGGTAGGCAGGGCATGAGGAATCTAGGCTGGAGGTGGTGTGGAGTCAGCATGGGGTACTCTGGATCTCCCAGTAAGGAGAAACGGAGGACTGGGCCCTCGCTTCCTGAGGGTCACCGGGCAAGCTGTGATGGGGGAGGACAGGGTGACTCTAATTAACACTGCATGGCCAGCTTTGAGAATCCACCTCCTTCTGGGCTGGTTGGTAAATAGCCCTTTGCCCTTCCTCCTCCGAGAGACCCGGCAACCCAAGCATCCTCTTCTAACCCTCGTTGCCCTTCGGGAACTGGGGTCTGTTCCTCTGCTCTCTCCGTGTGGGGATGCCGAGGCTCAGCGAGGTATCCGGGGTGGGTGGGGCACGCAGTGACACCGTCACCTCATCCCCCCTTCCAGCGGTCTCTCTGTGCTGATACGCGTGCGCCTGGAGCTGCGGCGGCACCAACGCGCGCGCCACACCATCCCGCAGATCTTCCAGGCGGTGGCTCAGCGGCAGCCTGAGCGCCTGGCGCTGGTGGACGCGGGCAGCGGTGTGTGCTGGACCTTCGCGCAGCTGGATGCCTACTCCAACGCTGTGGCCAACTTCTTCCGCCGGCTAGGCTTCACGCCGGGCGATGTGGTGGCCATCTTCATGGAGGGCCGGCCTGAGTTTGTGGGGCTTTGGCTGGGCCTGGCCAAGGCAGGCGTGGAGGCCGCGCTGCTCAACGTGAACCTGCGGCGGGAGCCCCTGGCCTTCTGCCTGGGCACCTCGGGCGCCAAAGCCCTGGTCTTCGGAGGGGAGCTGGCGGCGGGTGAGGCCGGGTGTGGGTAGCATCTTCTCGGTGGGGGTCTGGGGCTGCCCAGGGCAGGGAGATTGTGCTTCCCCGGCCCTGGGAGGGGCACTTGTCCATCTTCAACCACGACATGTTTCGGGCCGCAGTGGTGGCGGAGGTGACCGAGCAGTTGGGCAAGAGCCTGGTCAAGTTCTGTTCTGGTGACGTGGGGCCTGATGGCGTCTTACCGGACACCCAACTCCTGGACCCGCTGCTGAAGGAGACCTCCACAGCCCCCTTGGCGCAGCCCCCTGGCAAGGGCATGGATGGTGAGTCCAGGTGGGATCCCCCTGCCCACACCCATCCTGTCCCCTCGTCCCACCCAGCTCAGCCTCTGGTCCCCAACACCCGTGTCTCTCTCAGATCGACTGTTCTACATCTACACATCGGGGACCACGGGGCTGCCCAAGGCTGCCATCATCGTGCACAGCAGGTGAGGGGCCCGTGGGTGTTGCCCGACCCCCACCCCCCACTGGAGAGCCACTCCAGGTCGTCTCTCTAAGGCCTGATCATCCTGCCCCCCCCCCCCCGCCCCCACCCCAGCTCTTTTTGAGGATCTTGTGGGCATCTTAAAGTCAACTGGGTAAAACCCACAGCCCGTCTCAGGACCCAGTGCAGTCCTCTGCCCCTCCTCAGCCTCCTCCTGCCCCCATTCCTGCCCCCAACAGCCCTCCTTTCCTCGACGACCATAGGACATCCCAACTCGTGTCAAACTGCCCTGTACTTACCTTGGCCCTTGGATAAAAAGCCTCATGCCTGTTGTGCGCCACCTGTCACTTCTCTGATGTCATTTTCCTCCTCTGCCTCTTTGCTCGCTCTCTCCTCGATTCCTCCAACCTGCCAGGTTGCTTCTGACCTCAGGACCTTGCATATGCTCTGCCCTTCACTTGCGTGCCCTTCCCTAGCTCTCCCCACAGCTCCTTCTCACCAGGTTTCAGTCACATCCCCAGACAGGATACCCGAGCCTCCCTGGCTTTGTCCCCTTCAGCTGCTCTCTGTTGCTCTGTGATATTCCTCATGGCACCAATCATTTCCTTTCTTTGTCGCATGTTCCTCACCCGCCAGCCTGTAGGGCCCCTAAGAGCTGGGCTGGCTCCGCCTGGGTCCCTGCTGTGTCCCCAGCACCCAGCAGGCTCCCCACCCCCCGACCCCCTTTTCTCGGGGACGTGGGCCCCAGCCCCTGCGCTCCCTGCCCCGCAGGTACTACCGCATCGCGGCGTTTGGGCACCACTCCTACAGCATGCAGGCAGCAGATGTGCTCTACGACTGTCTGCCTCTGTACCACTCGGCAGGTACCACGGGGCGGCTCGGGCGGGAGAGGGCGCGGGGGGCCGGGGACCCCCCTCATCGAGCCCACTCTCTGCAGGGAACATCGTGGGCGTGGGCCAGTGTCTCATCTACGGGCTGACGGTGGTCCTGCGCAAGAAGTTTTCGGCTAGCCGCTTCTGGGATGATTGCGTCAAGTACAACTGCACGGTCAGGCCCCGCCCCCACCCGGTCAGGCCCCGCCCCTCTTTCACCCCTCCCCTCCCCCCACCCGTCCGCCATTACTTCTCTGAATGGCTGCCTTGCAGGGACATGAGGGGGCTCGGAGGGGGCCATCGGTGCTTTATGGTCTCTGTCCGGCCAGAGACTAAACCTGCAACATGTAAGCCCCTTGTATCCTCATAGCTGCTTGGGAGCAGGCAAGGGCATCACACCCATTTTGCAGGTAGGGAAACTGAGACTTCTAATGCAGTTGGGATTGGACGCAGACTGCCTGAGCTCGTTAAGATGCTGCCTTCCCCATGCCCTATGCTGGAAAGGTTTTCCATGCTGGTAGCTGCAGGCAAATGGGTGCCGTCACCGCCCTGGCCTGGTTAAGGCCACAAGGTCTAGGGCTTCCTGGTGGGGTAAGCATGAGGCAGAAGTGGAGGGCATCCAGTGTCCTGCGGAGCAGGTAGAGGTTAAGACAAGTCCTTTCCTCTCCTCTGCCCTCCTCAGTGAGAGGAGACAGCTGGAAGGGTTCAGTGCCATGGTGGGGGTGGAAATGCAGGTGCTAGTACTTTCCTCCAGGTGGAAGAAGGAGTGAGAAGGGGGTGTGTCCAGAGACTGACAGATTGGGAGGTACTGACCTCACCTTGAACAGGTGGGGCCCAGAGAGGTTCAGCCAGTTGCCTGAATCACACAGTAGGGCAGTGGGGGTTCTGGGTTGGCATCCTGGGGGATCCCTCAGGGTGAGGACTGTGACCTGTTCTGCTTCTGAGGATTTTATGTTCTACTTGGAGTTGGGGGGGTCTTGGGAAAAATTGCTAATCTGAATCTTGAAATAGAAAACAGTCCATTTGACTAACTTAATTATTGACAGTTGCAAATATAAACGTGGACAGAAACGTTTAGGGGCTTCCCAGGCACCCATCACTCAGCTTCAGAGGAGATCAGATACCCTGTCCTGCCCCCTCCGCCTCCCCACCCATGTCCCTCCTTCAGCCTTGTTGTGAGGCAGCTCCAGACAGCAGCCTGTTTCCTGCATAGATACCTCAGTAAAACCTCCAGAAGATGATTGTTCATTTCTAATTGAGGTGAAATTTACATAAGATTAGCCACTTTGAAGTGGACACTTTAGTGGTATTTAGTCCATTCATAGTGTTGTACAACTAGCCCCTCTATGCAGTTCCAAAAAATGTCCATCACCTCAAAAGGAAATCCTGTCCCCGTTGACAGTCACTCCCCATTCCCCTTCCCCAGCCCCATGGCAACCACGAATCTTTCTGTCTCTATGGGCTGGCCTGTTCTGGATATTTCTTGTAAATGGGACCTCTCTGTGGGCTTTTGTGTCTGGTGAGGGCTGTTCTTAAAACAGAAGATCTGAAAGCAGGGTCTCAAAGAGATATTTGTCTATCCATGTTCATAGCAGATTATTTACAATACATAAAACATGAAAGCAACCCAAATGTCCATCCACAGATGAATGGATAAGGAAAATGGGTCCATCCCTACAATGGAATATTATTCAGCCTTGAAAAGGAAGGAGATTCTGACACAGGCTACAACGTGGATGAATGTGGAGGATGTTATGCTAAATGAAATAGGCCCATCAAAAAAAGACAAATTTCACTTACATTAGGTACTCACAGTAGCTAGAATCATAAACAGAAAATAGGGTGGTGGTTGCCAGGGGCTGGGAGGAGGGAAGAGTGGGGAATTAGCATTTAATGGGGATACAGTTTCAGATTCACAAGAGTTCTGGGGATGGATGGTGGTGATGGCTGCTCAATAATGTAAATGTGTTTAATACCCCTTTAAAATGGCTACCCAGGTGGCGCAGCAGTAAAGAATTTGCCTGCCAATACAGGAGACACAGACTCGATCCCTGGATTGGGAAGATCCCTTGGAGAAGGAAATGGCAATCCACTCCAGTATTCCTGCCTGGGAAATCCCAAGAACCGAGGAGCCTGGTGGGCTACAGTCCATAGAGTTGTTAAGAGTCGAACATGCCTGAGGGACTGAGCATGCACACACAAAAATGACTAAGATGGAAAAAGAAAATGCTAAGGTGGTGAATTGTATGTGTATTTTACCACGATAAAAGAAAGAGGGGAAAAAAAGGAGAAAAACTGCAGTATCATTATCACAGCCCAAAAGCGACAGGATTTCTCAATCATCAGGAATCTGGACACTGATCCCGTGTTTTACCATGTCAAAAATATGGGTTTTGTTTTTTTTTTCTTGTTTCTATATATATAGTTTAAATTTAAAGTAGATAAGACCCACACATGGCACCTAGTTGATGTTTCTTGTAAGATTCCTTGTCTCTCATTCTTTCTCCTTTGTCTCCCCCCCTCCCTTTATAATCTGTTTACTGAAGAAAGGGAGTTTGCCCTGTGGTGTGTTCCCAGTCTGGGGATTGCTGCAGGTCCCTTGACATACTCTTGTCACTCTGGTATTTTCTGTGCCTTGGGAGTAGGGTTAAGCACAGCAATTTTTTTTTAATCCATTTTTAAAAATTGAAGTATAGTTAATCGGCCATGTTGTGTTAGTTTCAGGTGTACCGCAAAGTGATTCAGTTATATATGTCTCTTTTTTTCAGGTTCTTTTCCATTATAGGTTATTACAGGGTACTGAGTGTAGTTCCCTGTGCTACACAGTATGTCCTGTTGTTTATTTCATATATATTCATATATATATATTTCATATATAGTATGTGTATCTGCTAATCCAAAAGTCCTAATTTATCCCTTCCCACCCCCGATCCCCTTTCATAGCTATTATTTTTCTATGTCTGTGAGTCTGTTTCTGTTTTGTAAATAAGTTCATCTGTATCGGTTTTTTAGATACTGCATGTAAGTGATACATGATATTTGTCTTTCTCTGCCTGACTTACTTCATTTTATATGAAACTGTCTAGGTCCATCCATGGTGCTGCACATGGTATCATTTCACTCTTTTTTTATGACTGAGTAGTATGTTTATTCCATTGTGTATAAGTACCGTATCCTCTTTATCCATTCATCTGTCAGTGGACGTTTAGGTTGCTTCCATGTGAACATTGAGATGCATGTATCTTTTCAAATTAGAGTTTTGTCCAGATATATGCCTGGAAGTGGAATTGCTGGGTCATGTGGTAGCTCCGTGTTTGGTTTTTAAGGACTGTCTGTGCTGCTCTCTGCAGTGGAAGCACAGCATTTCTCAAGGACAGCAGTGCAGACGCTTGGCGCTGCCTCGTTCTCTGGGGTGGGGGCCATCCTGTGCACAGTAGGATATTTAACAGCAGTTCTGGCCTAAAATCACTGGGTGCCACCAGGACCCCACCTCCCAACTGTGATAATTCAAAATGTGTCCAGACATTGTCAGGTGTCTTCACCATGGTTGAAAACCACTGCTTTAGATATTTGACTGATTCAAGGTCTGCTTTTTTGTCTGGGGTTCCCTGTGGGTGGTGTCATGGCCTCCTACTGGGAGGCCCACAGTGTCTGATGGTCCCTCTCTTTGTCCTTGACATGCGTATGTTGCATCGGGCTTTGTTCACTGTCTCCAGGCCCCTGAAAGGCTTCTGTTCTGTTTCCTTGAAGAGTTATTTCTGTGACCAAGAGAAAGCATTGAGGGGCTCTATAAGGAGTACAGAGGGTGGAATCCTCAAGTGAAGGTCACTCAGTCGTGTCCAACTCTTTGTGACCCCATGGACTGTAGCCTGCCAGGCTCCTCTGTCCAGGGAATTCTTCAGGCAAGAATACTGGAGTAGGTAGTCATTCCCTTCTCCAGGGATCTTTCCTACCGAGGGATCGAACCCAGGTCTCCCGCATTGCAGGCAGATTCTTTACCATCTGAGCCACTAGGGATGCCAGGAAGACTTAAGAAATGCTGCTGAGTTCAGAAATCCCATCTCATGGTTGTTGGGTGGGGGAAACTACATGGCTATTTTTCTTTTTTTGCAGTAGTGGGTGCTGGCCCAGAACAACTGCCCAGCTGTCCTCATCAGAGGCAGCAGGCTGTAATCTGCTTTCTTGGCTGCATAAAGCAGGTGGCAGGCAATAGACAAGTCAACCCATCATCCATCCATGGGTATACAGTTCCTGTGTCTCCCTGTCCCTTTGGGTGTGTACATTTGGAGTTGTAGCAGGGGTCCCAGGTTGACAATTCACTCTTAGCTTCTGCCCAGGTGCTGCCCCGCAGGTTGGAGGTCACAGCATGGGGCGCCTGGTGTCTCCTTCTCTGAGCTGACCTGAGTTGTTTTCCCCTTAGCCCTGGATCTCTCCAAAGGTCCAGGCCAGAGTAAAGATCAGCTGTTTGACTCTCAGTATGTAGAGCTGGCCTCAGAGCCGCAGGGATGTCATTGTCACCTTCAGCTGCCTCCGTTGTGGTTGCGTTATCCCTTCCCCAGCCTAATTTCTGAAGAGGACGGTTGAAAGCTGCCGGGGACTACTTGTAATGGTCTGGAGGGCAGCTCTGTTCTTAGGCAGGACTTTGTCAGCTGACAGGTAAAACCAAAACCCTAGCCCCAGCCCTAACCTAAACTCTAGCTTTCTTGAGGAAAGGGCATATCAACTTATGGAACTGAGGAGGCCAAATAGTGGACAGCTTCAGGCACACCTTGATCAAGGCGGCGGTGGGGGGTGGGTGGGTGGCTTCCTCCCCACCCTTCCTTCCCCAGGAGGGCTCCCAGCAGCTCCAGTTGACGAAAGAGCCTGTGGGCCCACCAGTCCATCAAAAGTCTCAGGGATGATTCTCATTGGCTGAGTTGTGATCACATGCTGATCCTTGAACCAATCAGTGTCTGAGGATGGACTGGATTCTGATTGGCCAGGCTGTATGACTTGCTCTGCCCTGGAAGTGGGGTGGGCTGGGCCACCAAGAAGGAGCCTGAGGGCAGAGGGAGAGAAACCATCACGGGTCTCTGATCTTGCCTTCCCGAGGCTTGCCTCCTGGTGATCTTCGCCCAACTGCATCTCCTCTCTGGGTCTTAGTGCTTTCATCTTCAGTAGGGCGTTTTGGGAAGATTAAACAGACGAGCTCTGTGTTCGACAGGCTTGTATTCATCAGAGCCGCACCAAGTCCTGCTCAGCCATGGCGGCGTTTGAACTGAGGCCTGCCTCTCAGTGCGTCAGAGGGAAGAGTGTTCTAGGCAAAGGGCACAGTATGTTCAAAGGCCCTGAGGAAGAGACCCACGTGACAGCCAAGTGAGCACAGGAGTTGGCGGGAGACAACGCGGTGAGGGAGGCAGGGCCAGATGGAGTTGATCACAGGTCAAATTTTATAGTGCATTTTGGTGTGAGTACTTTGAAGCTATAGTGATTGCCATGGTGGTTCATTCTGAACATGTAACTGTTTCATTGAGACTCTGGAGCCAGGATGCCGGATCAAATCAGATTTCACCACATTCTCAGCCTTGGTGGGCGCTGACTGTCTGTGAGCATCTGTAAAGTGGGGAGGGTAATTATTCAGAAGCCCACCCGGAGATGGGGACTCAAGGGCAACTGGGGTATCTGGGAGATGACCCAGAGGGTGGGGCCACCGGAAAGGGAGGGAAGGAGCCTGCGGAGAGGGGTGGTGAGTAGATGGCTCCGTGGGCCGCTGGGGCTAGGTCTGTGACTTGAGGGAAGCCACAAAGAACATGACCTGACAGTTGTCCCACCCCTAGGTCAGGGCTGTGGGCGGGCAGCCTGAGCTCAAACGGGGCTCTGAGCAAGTGCATAGGTATAAATGGTCTGGACTGTTCTCTGGCTGTTTAAGGCCGTTTTGCTCTTAGCGCCCAGATGGGAAGAAGGAGGTTGTTGGGTCTGGGGGGCCTCCAGCCCGCGGCAGCCTCCGCCCCCAGGGGGCTCCTCTCTGCCCCAGCGCAGGCGCCCACTGCTCACTGCCCACCCCACCCGCAGGTGGTCCAGTACATCGGGGAGATCTGCCGCTACCTCCTGAAGCAGCCAGTGCGAGAGGCAGAAGGACGGCATCGTGTGCGCCTGGCATTGGGCAACGGGCTGCGGCCGTCCATCTGGGAGGAGTTCACGGAGCGCTTCGGGGTCCGCCAGATCGGCGAGTTCTACGGGGCCACCGAGTGCAACTGCAGCATCGCCAACATGGACGGGAAGGTGGGCGCGGGTGGGGCGGCCCTGGCAGGTCTAGGGGTTTGGGGAGCACTGCTCCCTCTGCCCCGCCGGCCCGGGTTGCCATAGAACAGCCTGGTTTGTGGTGGGCAGCTCGGCCAGGGTGCTGGGCAGCCTTCCTGCCAGCTTGCTCAGTCACCTGACTGTCGCCCCTGAGTTCCGACTCACAGCATGGCTCTGTGCCTCAGCCTTTCAGAGCCCCAATTTGTAGCAATGGAGGTGGCAAGGGAGAGCAGGGCTCTGGGGGATCCAGGGCCAGGAATGGGGTGCTGATCTTCTACTAGGCAAGTCACTCAGGCTTCTTGGGTCTCAGTTTCCTCATCAGTAAATGGGATTAACAATTTAGGTTTGTTCTAATCATGGAACATCCTGAACTCAGCATAGCACCCTTTCCCCCTGCAGTAAGCCCTCTGAAAACATGCAGACGTTTATGATTAGAAAGTATTATCTCTGGTCTATCCTTGCAGGACCCTTCTTCTCCCTTATCAAGCCTTTCCCACCCAATGTCAGGGACAGAAAAGGAGAAGAATAATAAAGCAAGCTCCCCGGAGGCAGGCATTCTTTTCTGTCTCTTGCTGCTGGGTCCCCAGCGCTGGACGGCAAGGCCTGGTCCCCACCATACACATGGGTTGAATGTGCAGCCTCAGAGTACAGTCTTGCCAAACCAGCAGAGGTTGCTGCTGTAACAAATACGCCCAACCGCGTGCAGTGTGCAGACCCACTAGATGGGCATTTCTGCTCATAGAACTGAGCCAGGCAGCATGCCATGCAATGGGCAGAAGCTCTGCCAGTCTCCCTTCATGGCTTCAGAGTCACTCTGGGCACCCACTTCCTGCCAGCTTGGAGGGTTTTAAGGACCAAGAAGTGGTGGCCAACTGGCAGGTCTCCTAATGTGACTGCAAGGGAGGCTGGGAATGGGGAGAGAGGGGGCATGATTCCTGGTGGGAGCCTGCACTTCATAACCCCCTCGTTCAGATCATCAAAGGTCACAGAGCTAGTGCTAATTCTAGGCCCTGAGGCAGGAGAAGCAAGGTGTCAGGGGTGGGGTTGGGGGAGGCCACACCGTGTCATTGCAGGGCTCCTCGCTGACTGGTTTGGCCCCATCCCAGGTCGGTTCCTGTGGCTTCAACAGCCGCATCCTGCCCCACGTGTACCCCATCAGGCTGGTGAAGGTCAACGAGGACACCATGGAACTATTGAGGGATGCCCAGGGCCTCTGCATCCCGTGCCAGACCGGTGAGCAGGGTCCCGTCCAGTACCCCTGGGGAGCTGGGGACCCCACCTCCTGCCTGCCGGCACAGCCTGAGTGCTGCCTCCTCCCCAGGGGAGCCCGGCCTTCTTGTGGGTCAGATCAACCAGCAGGACCCGCTGCGTCGCTTTGATGGCTACATCAGTGAGAGCGCCACGAGCAAGAAGATCGCCCACAGCGTCTTCCGCAAGGGTGACAGCGCCTACCTCTCAGGTGTGCAGATCCCAGGGGCCGGCTGCGGGGATGGCGGGCCACCATCTCACCTCCCCGTCTCCCCTCTGCCAGGTGACGTGCTGGTGATGGATGAGCTGGGCTACATGTACTTCCGGGACCGCAGCGGGGACACCTTCCGCTGGCGTGGGGAGAACGTCTCCACCACTGAGGTGGAAGGCGTGCTAAGTCGCCTGCTGGGCCAGACAGATGTGGCTGTGTATGGAGTGGCTGTGCCAGGCAAGCTGGGGCTCTGGGGGTGGTCCCGGGGTCCTCGGGGCAGCCCCAGAGGAGCCCAGCTAGGAGGAACTTGGAGGTACAGGTACCCTGGTAGGCAAGACCTAAAGCAGTGCACAGCCTGGGCAACTGCACTCAACAGGGTGGTGGCCTGGATCTGGAATTATTCCTCATGCCTGATGCTGAGCTTCAGTTTCCTCATGCAGGCAATGGGCTCATGAAATCAGCTGTGGCTCAAGGTTGCTCAATAAAGTGTCCACTGCTTCAGCGAGCATTATCCCAGGTGCATGGGCTGGAGATCAGAGGCCGGGGACCACCAGTGGAGAAGGGATCTGGTTTCTTGGTGGGGCACGGGGCGCTGTCTCAGCCAAATCTGTCTCTAGGAGTAGAGGGCAAAGCGGGCATGGCAGCCATCGCAGACCCCCACGGCCAGCTGAGCCCCAATGCGCTGTATGAGGAGCTGCAGAAGGTGTTGGCGCCCTATGCCCGGCCCATCTTCCTGCGCCTCCTGCCCCAGGTGGACACTACAGGTGCGGCCCCCGCCTCTCCGTCCATCCATCTGTCAGCTTCTCAAGCGTTTACTTACCCGTTCTGGTTCAGCCCCTGTGCCTGGCCTAACCTGATGGTCCACGGCCAGCCGGCACTGTGAGCTAAGCCCTTCTCTTCTGGTATTTACACACTTATTTCTTTCCATTCCTCATTCCTACTCCCACTGGCCATCCTGCAATGTTTGGTACATTTCTTCATTTCCGGCATTTATCTGAGGACTAGGAAATTTGAGCGAATCATCTCACACCTTTGAGGCTTCCTATTCTGTAAATCGTATCTTTGACCGATCTTAGTATTGTCTCATTCTTTCTTTGTGATTTACAGGAGTTCCTCCTAATAGTCTAGATGTTAATTCCTTAGCAATTGCAGACATTTTAAATCTTCTCTATTTTGGAATCTGTTAACTTTGTCCATGGTGCCCTTTATTGAAAAGAAGCTTTAATTTTGGTACAAATGTAAACCCCACTGTCATCATCTCCGACCCTGCTTTTTTAATCTTGAGGTTTGTACTTTTCAAGTTGCTTTCCTTTTTTTTTAATGGCCAAGCAGGATAACTTGTGGGATCTTAAGATCAAATCCATATCCCCTGCAGTGAAAGTGCAGAGTCCTAAACACCAGGGAAGTCCCTGAAGTTTCATTAAAAAGAAAACAAAAAGCCTTCCTAATTCTTGAGCACACAGGGATTCTCCCTTGATTTTCTACAAACCCAGATCTTTCACAAAACCCTTCTTTAATTGTCTACTGCAGGGAGTGCAGACTTTTTCTTTAAGGCCCAGATAGTAAATATTTTCAGTTTTGCGGGCCACAGCCTCTGCAGCAGTAATTCACCTCCTCAGCTGTAGGGCAGAAACGGCAGTAAGTAGTGTGTATGTGCCGGGGGGTGGCTTCCTCAGATGGGGGCTTGAATTTGGCCCGTGGGTGGATCATGGGCCTATAAGTTGCTGACCCCTGACCTCCTGTGTGACCAACCCAGCCTTTTCACCTTCTTGGTCTTGTGTGGGTGGACATGTGACAGGCAGGGAGTATACATGGAGTTTTGGGTCATGCAGGGGGTGGTCAGGGTGGCCTCCCTGGCAGAGGGAGCATGAAGCTGAGATGCAAAGGCCAAGGGGGAATCAGGCGGGCAAAATGGGGAAGAATGCTCCTGGCAGGGGGGACAGCCTATTCAGAGGCCTGGAGGTGCCGAAGAAAATAGTGAGCTGGGGTGGGGTGAGGTTCCTGGCAGCCCACTGCCAAGTTCCTCCCCCACTCCCACTCCCACTTCCGGCCCCGCCCCCACAGGCACCTTCAAGATCCAGAAGACCCGGCTGCAGCACGAAGGCTTCGACCCGCGCCTGACCTCGGACCGGCTCTTCTTCCTGGACCTGAAGCAGGGCCACTACTTGCCTCTGGACCAGGGTGTCTACACCCGCATCTGCTCAGGCGCCTTCGCCCTGTGACACTCCTCTGTCAGCCCGAGACTCCGCGCCAGGCCCAGCGAGCAAGGCGGGCTGCAGCCAGACAGCCCTGCCCGGTCCTGGGGCAGAGAAGCCGGATTACAGGAGGAGCCCTTGTTTCCCGCCTTCTTCCTCCTCCTCTCCACCAGCTGGCCGCCCCCGCCTGTCTTCCACTCCCGTGTCTGTCTGTCTGTCTGTCTCTGCTCCCTGCTTCTAGGCCTCCCCGCTGTCCCTGACTGCCCCCGACTGCCCCCTGCCTCCATCTCTCCTCCCCTGCCCACTTCCTGCCAAAAGTAGAAGAGGCATTTCTGGGAGCTCTGGTCTGTGTGGGCCCCACAGCTGTCCTGGGGGCCTCTGCGGGTCCTCCCCGCTGGGTGGGAAACCCAGAGTGGGGCCGCTCCACCTCCCTCTCAGCTGTGCCTTATTAACAAACCCCACCAGCCCAGCCCTCCCTAGGCCGCTGGATTCCAGGACTTTGTAGCCCTGTGGGAGCTCCAGGCAGCCCCTCCACCTTCCTTGCTGAATGAGGAGCTAGGCATGGTCTGCCTGGACAGCCTGGGTTCAAGGGGGCCTCGGCCCGGGGCCCTCCAGGTCAGCAGGGTGTCTCTGCCCAGCTGGGCCAATTGCCTTTTGCACTTCCTGTCCCTGCTGGCTCTCCCTCCTCTTGCCTGCCTTTCCTGACGCCCCAGAAACTTCTGGAACTGATTGTGACCACTTGGATGTTGCCCCTGCCCAGCTGTCACCATGGAGCTCCTGCTGGAGGGAACCTGAAGATGGCCCTGGGTGGCTGCTTGGCCCACTGCTCAGATGCTTACCCTGGAGGAGGCCTCTTGGGGACCCCACCTGCCGTGGCTGCTGGCAGGACTCAGGGGAATGGCAGCAGTGGATTTGGGGAAGCCTCCAGGTCAGGGGTGGCCCCAGATGCCCTCAGGGGTTCCTGCCTATTGAATGTTCCCCTGACCTTGCTAGTGACAACTTGGACCCTTGGTTGGTGACATCCCAAGACCACCCTGCCAGGACAGCCCGGACATTCCCATCAGCTTCGTCGGTGGCTCATCCCAGACACCCACCGGTGGGGGTGGCCACCCAGACTGCCCCCCCGTCCCTCCCTCTGGCAGCACCGTCCGGCAGCTAGAACAGCAAGGCCAGCAGCAAATGACCCCGTGCTGTTTCGCATGGGCCTTTTCAAGCACTGAGGTTTTACTTCCTCATTGAGTTTAAGAAATAAACCTGCAGAGCATTTGGTGCCTGATAGGAGCTCAGTCCCTCACCTTTTGTCCCCACGTGGCCCAGAACCCTGTGAGTTTCAGAGAGCAGGCCCCTCCCAGGGACCACATGGTTGGCCAGACATGGGCAAGACACACTCGGCCTTCACTGACAGCTCCTGTTGCCTCTTCTCCCTCCGCAAGCTCCAGGGTCTGGAGACTTGGTGGCGGGGCCATGGGTTAGTGTCCTTACCACCTCCCTACAGCCCAGGGTTCTGGCAGGTGCAAAGGATGGCCCAGGACAGACAGTATGTCTCGGCAGGTCTGGCTGCCCCTCTGGGGGGCCAGCATGTGTGGCTGTAGCTCTGAGAGCCAAGCCTGCGAGGGTAATTGTCTGAGCTGGGATTTGAACCCAGGACATTGAGAGCCAGAGTTCATCTTCTCAGCTTCCTCCTCCAGAATTACAATGTCTGTCTTGTCTCCAAAGGAGAAGGAAGAAAATCTTATGAAAATTGCTAGGTGCTAGGTGGGGGCACCCAGGGGGTGACTCTGGGGGTGGATGGGGGTTGGATGAGTCCTGGACCAGCCTAAGAATGGAGGAACTATTGTTGTGGGGTGCTGGTCCTTCACTGCCCACAGTGCAAGGAAGGTGATGCAAGGTAGAGCCTTTGAGATGCCCAGTGAAGGTGAGAAAGATGTGTCATGGTGGGGATGGAGGCCCCTGGTGTGCTGATAAGCAAGTGTATTCTGGGTAACATCCCTTCAGACATCCGACCACCTGCAAAGGTGTTGTCCTGGTCCCTGCTGAACAGATGAGGAAACTGAAGGCATAGGGAGGGGAATGAAGTCACAGGGGCTCTGGTGAGGAAGTGGTCTAGTGGGGAACTTTCTCATTGCAAAGTCTGTCACTCTAGCTGCAACAGTGTAAGTTCTCTCCAGACCAGCAAGAAAATAATCCTGATGACTCAGGTTCCAGCTGTGTGTATGTTTGCTCTTAAAAATTAATAGATTTTATTTATTAGGTCAGTTTGAGGTTTACAGAAAAATGAGCAGAAAGTACAGTTTTCATATGCCCTTTGACCGCTGTTTCCACTAGAATTAACATCTGACATTCGTGGGCTACATTTGTTACACCTGATGAGTTAATGTTGATACATGATTATTAAGCCAAGTCTGCAGTTTACATTAGGGTTACACTCTGTTGTACATTCTGTGGGTTTCAACAAATACATAATGGCTTGCAACCACCGTTAGAGTATCACAAAGAATAGTTTCTCTTGCTCTAAAAATCCCATGTTCCATCTCATCACTCCTATCCCAACCTGTGGCAACCACTGATCTTTTTACTGTCTCCCTAGTTTTGCTTTTTCCAGACTCTCATGGATGGACTTGGAATCAAACTGGGTGTCCTCTTTTCAGAGTGGCTTCTTTCATTTGAGATTCCTCTATGCCTTCTTGTGGCTTGACAGATCTGCATTTTTTTTTTCTTCATACCAAATTAGAAGCTCCATGACTTGCCCCTGGGGACCCTCAGTAAATCATGAGGAGAGATGGGAACTGATGGTGCTCTGCCCCGAGCTGCTCCTTTCTGGATGGGCCCTAGAAGAATGTGCAGAGAGAACGCCTGTACTTGTGGGAAGAGAAACGCCCCAGCCTGGTGTTGGCAAGTGTGCTGTGAGAGGCAGGGGCTGAGCTGTGCACAAGGGACCAGGAAGAAGCAGCAGCTGCCCAAGAGGGCATATGAGTAGAGTCAGCGCCAAGAGCTTCCCGAGGATAGGGGGCTGCAGGCTGGGTCCCTGCCCCACACTCTTCTGGCGTCTCCATCACTTCGGGGAAGATTCCAGGCTCTTTGGCTAGCACTGCCGTCCTGCAGGCTGTTTTCCTTGTACCATGGATAATTGTTTCCAGCCTATGTCTGGCTTCAATGCCTTCATTCCTATTGTTCCTTGTGCCCAAATCATTATTTTTAACTGAGCTAATTATTTAGACCATAAATTCGCCCTTTTAAATTGTGCAACATGGTGGCTTTTAGTATATTCACAAGGTTATGCAACCATCCCCTATGTCTAATTCCAGAACATTTTCATCACCCCAAAAACCCTCATATCCATTAGAAGTCACTGCCCATCCTCTGTCCTCAACCTCTGGCAACTACTACTTTCTGTCTCTGTGGATTTGTTTATTCTAGACACTTCATAGAAATGGAATCACAGTCTGTGACCTATGGTGTCTGACTTACTTTTCGCAGCATGTTTTTAGATTCATCCAAGTTGTAGCGCATTCCTTTTTATGGCCAAACAATACACCACTGTATGGGTAGACCACATTTTTGTTAACCACCAGTTGATGGACATGGATTTCTTTTTTTGAGGGGGGGGCTATTGTGAATGATGCTGCTGTGATCATTTGTGTAAGTTTTTGTGTGAACATACGTCCTGAATTCTCTTGGGTGTAAACCTAGGTGTGGAAATGCTGGGTCACATGGTCACTATGTTTGACCTTTTGAGGAACTGCCAGACTGTTTTCCACAGTGACTGTATCACTTTATATTCCCACCAGCAGCAGTGTGTGAGTTCCAGCTTCCCACATCCTTGTCAGCACTTGCTGCTGCTGCTGCCGCTAGGTCGCTTCAGTCGTGTCCGACTCTGTGCGACCCCATAGACGGCAGCCCACCAGGCTCCCCCATCACTGGGATTCTCCAGGCAAGGACACTGGAGTGGGTTGCCATTTCCTTCTCCAATGCATGAAAGTGAAAAGTCGAAGTCGCTCAGTCGTGTCCGACTCTTAGAGACACCATGGACTGCAGCCCACCAGGTTCCTCCATCAATGGTATTTTCCAGGCAAGAGTACTGCAGTGGGGTGCCATTGCCTTCTCAGCACTTACTTTATTTTGGCTGCACCGCTAGGCATGCAGGATCTTAGTTCCCCAACAAGAGGCCGAAACTGCGCCCCCTGCAGTGCAATCTTAGAGACAACCGCTGGACTGCCAGGGAAGTTCTGTCTTTTTTATTGTGGTTATTTTAGTTGGTATCCAGTGGTATCTCCTTGTAGTTTTGATTTGCATTTCTTGAGGGCTAATAAGCAGAACATCTTTTCATGTGTTTGTTGTTGTCTAGTTGCTAGGTCCTATCTGACTCTCTGCCACCCCATGGATTGTAGCCCACCAGGTTCCATGGAATTATCCAAGCAAGAATACTGGAATGGGTTACCATTTCCTTCTCCAGGGGGATCTTCCCAATCCAGGGATCAAATCTGCATCTCCTGCATTGGTAGGCAGTTTCTTTACCACTGAGCCACCTGGGAAGCCATCTGTATACCTTCTTTGAAAAGAAATGTCTATTCAGATCCTTTGCCCAGTTTTTAACTGGGTTGTCTGTTCAGAGTTGGAAGAGTTCTTAATATAATTCTGTATACCAAATCCTTATAAGATATGGTTTGCAAATTTCTCCTATCCTGTGGATTGTCTTTTCACTCTATTGGTAGCATCCTTTGAAACATAAATATTTTTCATTTTGATGAAGCCCAGTTTATCTATTTGTCTTCTTCTCTGGCCACACTAATTAATGCAGCATTTGGGAACTTGGTTCTTCAACCAGGGACTGAACCTGTGCTCCATGCATGGAGTCTTAACTGCTGGACTGCCATGGAAGCCCCACTCTTGCTTTTGGAATCAATTTCTAACCCAACGTCATAAAGATTGATGCATCTATTCTCTAAGAAGAATGTTTTAGTTTTAGCCCTGACATTTAAATTTTTGTATACGGTTTGAGGTGGGGATCTGTATTAGTTTTTTAGTGCTGAGGTGACAAACACCGCAAACTTGGTGGCTTAACACCAATTATCTTACAGTTCTGAATGTGAGAAGTCAGAACTGGATCTTACTTGGCTAAAATCAAGCTTTGGCAGGGCTGCATTCCTTCTGGAGTTTCTGAGACAATCCACTTCCTTGCCTTTTCCAGCATTTAGAAACTGCCCACATTCCTTGGCTCATGGACTCTTCCTCCATCTTCAAAGCCATCAACAGTGGGTTGAGTCTTTTTCATGCTTTCATTTCTCTGGTCCTCCTCCTTCTGCCTCCTCCCATTTTCAGTGACCCTTGTGATGATATTGTGCTCATCCATGTAATCTCTCCTAAGGACAGGTGATTAGCAATCTAATTCAACCTGCAACCTTCATTTCCCCCTGCCAACTAACCTAACAAATTCAGATTTAGGGAACTACGGTGTGGACACCATTGGGGGACTACTTTTCTGCCTACCACAGGGTTCAACTTCATTCTTTTGCATGTGACTGTCTAATTTTCCAAGCACCAGTTGTTGAAAAGACTATTCTTTTTGTATTGAATGCTTCTGGCACCCGTGTTGAAGAGTCACTGATCACAGACATATGGTTTGTTGTTGTTCTAGCTCAGCTCTATTCCATTGATACATATATGTCTATTGTATGTCAACACCACAGTTTGATTCCCATAGCTTTGTAGTAAGTTTGAAATCAAGAAGTGTGAGTCCTCCAATTTAGTTCTTCAAGACTGGTTGGCTATTTGGGGCCCCCTGCAATTCCTCATGAATTTTAGAATCAGTTTGTTGATATCTCAATAAAGGCTCTCAGAATTTTGACAGGGATTACATCGTGTCTACAGACCAATTTGGGGATTGTTGCTATCTTAACGGCTTTCCCATGTGGTTCAGTGGTAAAAAATCTGCCTGCCCATGCAGAAGACGCAGGAGTCACGGCTTTGATCCCTGGGTTGGGAAGATTTCCTGGAGAAGGAAATGGTAACCCACTCCAGTATTCCTGCCTGGAGAATCCCATGGACAGAGGAGCCTGGCAGGCTACAGTCCATAGGGTCAGACACAACTGAGCACAAGCACTCATGCTATCTTAACAATATGAAGTTTCCCAATCCATGAATATGGGATGTTTTTCCATTTATTAACATCACATTTTAAGTTACTTTTCAGCAAAGTTTTATAGTTTTCAGCGAATAAGTCTTGTACCTCTCTTGCTAAAATTATTAAGTATTTTATTCTCTTTGCTGCTGTTATAAATGGAACTGTTTTCTTAATTTGCTACTTCTTTGAAAGATGCACTACCTATGCAAATCTCATTGCACTTATTACACTATCCTAAACTCTCAGGTTCTGAGGTTGTCCAGCTGCCCTAACACCAGACCTTCTGCCCCTTCCAATCCTCCTTGCTCATGTTATTCCCTAAGTATTATATCTCATCGGGCTTCCCTCATTGCTCAGTCGGTAAAGAATCTGCCTGCAATGCAGGGGACCCCGATTCGATTCCCGGGTCAGGAAGATCCCCTGGAGAAGAAAATAACAACCCACTCCATTATTCTTGCCTGGAGAATCCCATGGACAGAGGAGCCTGGCAGGCTACAGTCCATGGGGTCGCAAAGATAGGACACGACTTAGCGACTAAACCACCACCATTCTATCTTATCAGCCAAGGCCCACTTGTCTCAGTCTGGGAGCTTCTCCAGGCAAGACCCAGGGGGAAGGAGGTCTCCACAGAGAACATGCAGGAGAAATTCAACACAGCTCCTACACTGTGCCACAGTTAAGGAGGCTGAGAGGACTCCTGTGAACAAACCAAATACACCCGTCCTTATAAAGTATATACTTTAAAATACATAATTATACTTTAAAGAGAGAAACAACAAATACCAACAAGATAAACGTGCTAATTCAGAAATTTCAAAGTCCACCAAAATGCACGCCCTCGAAGAAATCGTCTCCCTCCAACCCCACCCCAGGGCTCCCTCATTGCGATCCTCGAAGCTCTGAGCTCCGCTCTCTATTCCCGCCCTGATATCGGGAAGTAGAGCTCAGCTGCACCTACTCTGCCTGCTCCAGCCCAGGAAAAAGCTCCATGATCAGGCAAAAAAAAAAATCAATGAGCGCATCAGGACCTACTGCCCCCCCCCCACCCCCCCGGGACGTCATTCGTGGGTCTGCGCATGTGCTACAGGCACCTGGGTAGCAGGACTGGCGTTCACGCAGGCGCACTCGTGGCCACCGGAAGGGCTTCCTCCTCCTTGCCACCGCCATCGCCATGGCCGCGCCGGCCCCCCGCCTCATTTCTGTCTTCTCGAGCCCGCAGGAGCTGGCTGCGTCGCTGGCCCAACTGGTGGTGCAGCAGGCAGCAAGCTGCCTGGCGGATGCCGGCGCCCGCTTCATGCTCGGCTTGTCCGGCGGCAGCCTTGTCTCCATGCTGGCGCGCGAGCTGCCCGCTGCCGCCGCCCCCGCTGGACCCGCTAGCCTCGCGCGCTGGACGCTGGGCTTCTGCGACGAGCGTCTCGTGCCCTTCGAGCACGCCGAGAGCACGTACGGCCTCTACCGGGTGAGAGCTACGGGGGCCGCCGGGGGTCACGCCGAGAGGGCCGCGCACATCGCCTGGACCCGGCTACGGAGGCCACCGGGGGTCATTTCGAAAAGGCCGCGCCCACCGCCTGAACCGGGCGACGAGAGTTATGCAGGGTAGAAACCGTGCCCTCTCCCTGGACCGGAGCTGGGAATGGCCTGCTGGGTGCCCTGAGGTTCTGGGTGCCCCTCCACTGCCCCCCGGGTGGACCGGTGATGCCTTTTTGTGTGTGTGCTCTGTCGCTAAGTCATGTGCGCTTCAGGTAGCCAAGCAGAGGGAATGACAAGAGCAAAGGCATAGAGGCGGAACAGAGTGGTCCATTCCAGGGACTTCGAGGTCAGACGCTGCAGGCTAGTAAGTGCAGAGGCCGAGTTAGGGAAGAGCCAGGTAGGCGGGCTCTGGTGTGGAAATTGAGCCTCGGTTTCCCCACCTCTAACCTGGCGAAATCTCTGATCTCCGCTCTGCTTGTGGCGCTGACAACTCCGAGGCTGGTTATTTTTGGCCTGGGGCCCCAGACTCCTATAGAATGAGGGGAACCCCCCACTCCCCATTTTATAAGCAGGGAAACTGAGGCCTGGAGGAGCTATGATCTGAGCTGCCCTTCACCCCCCCACTTTGAATCAACTCTTCCTGCCATGGTAGGAGAAGGAAAACCCGCCCAGGGAGGTGTGGGAGGGGTGGGTTTGGCCAGAAGCCTCAGGTTGCTCGGGTCTTGGGTGTGTTGAGTTCTCTTCGCAAAGGAGCTTGAGCTGTTTTTTTGTTTGTTTGGTAATAAGGAAGGTTTACTGATTACCATGGCTTTATCCACATCATCTCATGAAACCCCACAAGTGCCTATGAGGCGGGGACTGTTAGTACCTGCGTTTCATAGATGGAGAAACTGAAGCCAGACAAGGAGAGTCACCTAGTGACCATGGAGGGAGCTGGGGTATGAACCTGCCTGGCGGAACCCCCAGAGTGCACCTGGGACACATTTCAGGGGCAGGGGCCGCTCTCAAGTCTTCATTGAACTTGTTACAATATTGCTTCTGTTTTATGTTTTGATTTTTTGGCAGTAAGGCATGTGTGACCTTAGTTCCCTGGCCAGGGACAGAACCCTATTCCCTGCGTTGGAAGAGGATGTCTTAACCACTGGACCATCAGGGAGGTCCCTGAAAGACTTTTACTTAGGAAAGCCATACTTGCTCAAGTAACAGAATCCTAACAAAACAGTCAAAGAGAAAGTTGGAAGGATATTCTGTGTGTGTGTGTGTGTGTGTGTGTGTCCTTGTATCCAGCACTAGGGACAGTTCCCTCATAGGGCTCATAGTGGGGTGGGCCATCAACACACAGGGCAACAAGAGTGGAAATCCACTCATAACCGCCGTGTAATGCAGTTTGGACAAAAGATAACAGTGTGAGATGATGGGGACTTCCCTGGTAGTCCAGTGGCTAAGACTCCACCTCCCAGTGCAGGGGAGGGACCTGGGTTTGATCCTTGGTCAGGGAACTTAGATCCTGCATGCTACAATGAAGATCAAAGATGCCAAGTGCTGCAATTAAGACCCAGTCCAGCCAAATATTTTTTAAAAACAGTGTGAGATGATAAGTGCCAGGGGAGAAGGGAGAGCACCCTTCAGCCAGGGCACTGGGGCACTCTGAGGAGGTGACATTTAGGCAGCGACCGGGAGGATATGAGGAGCTGGCCACAGGTAAGCTGGGGCAGAGGGTACAGCAGAAGCAAAAGCTATGCAGTGGGAACCGATGTGGGGCGAGGATTTGCTCTTGCCAGTTTCCCCAGGAAGGGAATCATGTTAGTTTCCTGGGGCCGTGGTAGCAAAGTACTAACCAATGGGTAGTTTAAAACCACAGGCATTGATTCACAGTTCTGGAGGACAGAAGTTCAAAATCAAGGTGTCAGCAGTCCCATGCTCCCTCCAAAGGCTCTCAGGGAGGAGGCTTTCTTGCCTTTTCCAGCTTCTGGGGGTTCCAGGTGTTTCTTGGCTTGTGGCCACATCACTCCAATCTCTGCCTCTGTTTCTACGTCACTTGTTCATCTGCTTCTCTCTTTGTTTCCTCCTCTTGTAAGGACACAAGTCTTTGAATTTAGGGCCTATCCTAGTGCCCCATGACCTCATCTGCAGTAACGACAACTGCAAAGGCCCTCTTTCTAAATACGGCCACATTCTTTTTTAAAATCAATTAGTTAATTTTTTTGGCTGTGCTAGGCCTCTGTTGCTGCATGGGCTTTTCTCTAATTGTGGCAAGCGGGGACTACTCTAGTTGCGGTGCACGGGCTATTCTTGTTGTGGTTTCTCCTGTTACGGAGTTCGGGCTTCAGTAGCTGTGGCTCCTAGGCTTTAAAGCACAGGCTCAATAGTTGCACACAGGCTCAGTTGCCCTGCGGCACGTGGGATCACCCCAGATTAGAGATCAAAGCTGTCTCCTGCATCGGCAGGCGGGTTCTTTACCACTGAGCCGCCAGGGGAAGTCCACATTCTGAGATTCCAGGTGGACGTGAATTTGGGGGTGGGGGGGGAGTCGCTAAGCAACATGGTACAGGGATGCAGAGGCATTCCTCTCCTGGAGGAGGGACCCCGGGCAGTTGGGGTTCTCTGAGCATGGATGGTTCACCCTGTACCATGGGCCTTCTGCTGTCCAGGCTGGGAGGAAGAGCTGGGCCCACCTTCCTGGGGATGGTTCCTCAGCACCTGCAAAGTGTTTAGAGAGAACCCACCGGATCAACCAGCAGTTCCAGTTCTAGGAACCTGCCAAACCGATGTCCAGCCTGAGGAGGAGGAAATGGCTCTGAGCCTCTAGGGGGAGGGCAGCTATGAAGGGGACTCAGGTGACAGAAACAGGGCACCCGTACTGCCCCCGACTTCACTCAGTACAGTCCCCAAGGGTGTGTGTAGATAGGGACCTTGGGCAAAACTGGTCTTTCCAACAATGGATCTGTCTGATCGTGCTCCTCCCCAGCTCACATACCCTCCTTGGCTCCCTGTTACCCTCAACACAGAGCCTGCACTCCTCAGGCCAGCATTTGGTGGGGAATCAGCACCATAAGTTCTGGCTGGTTTATCCCATGTCCTTGCTGCCTTCCCCCCTGCTCCAAACACTATTTTTGTTGTTTACCTGCTTTTACTTTGTGGGTCGGCCTGGCATTGCCTTGGCTGAGCTAGGCCCTGCCCAAAAGGAGGCACCGAGGTCGGGGCTGCCAGTGTCCATCCCAGAGCAGATCAAAGGCCATGGGGCTCATCTCTGTGGGAAAGGGCTGGAGCCTTCTGCCTTGCAGGACTCCTGACTCCAGATACTTCTGCATTAAACCCACCGATCATAGGCTGGGGTGCTTGCTATGGGCCGAGCATGCTCACCCTATAGTGCAACCCAGAAGAGATATCAGTGCTTACCACAGTTACATGTCACACCCCCAAGCAGCAGTTGGGGAAGGTGCAGGCAGAGGTGGCTGCTCAGAGGAGGCAGCTTGAAGGATGTGTAAGAGTTTCCTGGGCAGGATCAAGAACTGGTGTACCTGCTGAGGCATGGAGGTCAGCAGGACCTCCTGGAGTGCTGAGAGGGGCTAGGTTTTATCCTGAAGCCCAAAGGACCCTGGGTGTTTACAAACAGGATCCTGGTGTGGCCAGACAGGTGCAGGCCGCAGCCAGGAGACCTCCAATCACCAGGGACTTGAAAGACCTCTGGCGGAATGCTGCTGGGATCCTCACTCACACAGGAAGTGGGTATAGGACAGTCGTGTCCTAACCTGGAGGATCCAGGTAGTCCCAGGGGTAAGCCCCATGCCCCCACTGACTGTTTCTGTTGGTGACACTGTGCCTCTGTCCGCTGCAGACCCACCTGCTCTCCAAGCTCCCTATCTTCGACAGCCAGGTGATCACCATCAACCCCGAGCTGCCTGTGGAGGAGGCGGCTGAAGACTATGCCAAGAAGCTGAGACAGGTGAGCCCCTTGGAGCCGCTGCAGGAAGACCTCATCCACCCAGTGCGCTCTCCCAGGGTGATGGAGTAAGCCTTGTGGTGACACTGAGTGGTCATCACTGGTACAGACTCTCCCTGGGGGCGGTCAGGAGACCCAGTCTCACCCTGGGCAGACCCCTCTGAGGATCCCCCTCTGAGAGGCCACAGCCCTGCTCTGGGGGAACCCCCAAAGGCAGCCTCACCCCTGGTAGTAGGCCTGGGTATTCACATCTTGGGGACAGCTGCATCCCCAGATTGTCAGGCCATTGAGACAGTGAAATGTGGAGCCTTGTAGATTAATAGAGTTCCTTTTTTTTTGCAGATGAGGCTGAGCCTTGCTTACTGTGTTACAGCAGCTTGTTTTTCTGACAACTGTTTCTTTGTGTCCTCTGAGCTCTTCCCTCACAACTTCTCAGGACTGTCTTCTTTCCCCACCCAGGCCTTCCAAGGGGACTCCATCCCGGTTTTTGACCTGCTGATTCTGGGTGTGGGTCCTGATGGCCACACCTGCTCACTCTTCCCAGACCACCCCCTCCTGCAGGTGAGCACACCCACGAAGGCCCTGCTCACGTCTGAGCCCCGACCTCTGCCATCTGGGGCTTCCAGAGGGTTGGGAGGTACCTGCAGCATGGTGTGAGTCAGCCTCAGCCAACAGGCGTGCCCACTGGGGCTTGACCCTTCTGAGCCTCAGTTCATCCATCAAAACAGGGGCCTTCAGTCAAGTACCACAGAATTAGCAGGGTGGGATGGAAGGATGGCTGGATGGTGCCTGGCCTGTGTGAGTACTCAGGAAGTCAAGTGATGTTTTCCTGTTTCCACCTTGGGCCTCCCTGCCCCCAGGAGCGGGAGAAAATTGTGGCCCCCATCAGTGACTCCCCGAAACCACCTCCGCAGCGCGTGACTCTCACTCTTCCTGTGCTGAACGCAGCCCGAACGGTCATCTTTGTGGCGACAGGAGAAGGCAAGGCAGCTATTCTGAAGGTACCAGTGAGGGCCCCCTTCCCTAGAAGGTTGTAGGCAGAGAATGTGATCCCAGACACTATTGTGCTGAAAGCAGCAAATCCCAAGGTATTTCGGTAATTCTTGGGTTGAAGGAGAGATGAAAACTGCAAATATAGGCTACTTAGGGGTTAACAATTATGAATTGAAATTGACAAGATACGGCCAAGATGGCTCAGAGGTAAATTCATAGCACTTAATGTGTATACATATATATTTCATTATTAACTAGAAAACAATGGAAATAAACCAATCAAGCACTTTAGAATGAGAACAAAGGAAAATAACATAAATCTAAGAAAAGTCAGAGGGAGGAATAAGTGAGATTGAAATCGCTGAATTGGCTCATATTCTTAAAAACTTAATGGTAGATAGATCGATAACATAGACAGCCATACATAGACAAAGCCATAACACAGACATAGACCCATAACATAACAACTACCCCTGGCAAAACTGGAGAAAAAATCATATGTAGTAGGAATAAGTAAAAAAAAAAAAATAAAAAAGTAGGAATAAGAAAAAAGGTATAGTTACACATAATATATTAGGAAAATATAAAATTAATGAATTTACATTGGGCTACCCTGGTAGCTCGGTGGTAAAGAATCCTCCTGCCAATGCAGGACACATGGGGTTCGATCCCTGATCTAGGAAGATCCCACATGCCATGGGGCAGCTAAGCCCGTGCATCACAGCTACTGAGTGTGATCTAGACCCCACGGGCTGCAGCTCCTGAGCCCACATGCCCTAGAGCCCAGCTCCACAGCAAGAGAAGCCACCGCAATGGAAGTGCCTGTCCCACCGCTAGAGAGTAGCCCCCACTTGCCACAACTAGAGAAAAAGCCCACGCAGCAGTTTAGACCCACCACAGCCAAAAATAAACAAATAAAACCACATTTTAAAAATCATAAAATGGATATTAAAAATAAACAAAAAAATACTTTAATTACCGTCACTGAAAAGACCAACAACTGTGGAAGAAACTAGACATATTTTTAAAGATAAATAAGTAACAATTCTTCCACCAAGTGTTGGGCCCAGATGTCTTCATGAGGGTGGCCAATGTTAGGGTTCAGGGTGTAGACTCCAGCAGACCCAGTGTCCCCGCCAGTGATACCCAGCATGGCCTTAGACTGTCACTGAACCCCTCCCCACCACCACCCCACCAAGCCTCAACTTTCCCATCTGCAAGGAAGGTCCCTCCCCATGGACCTCCTGAGCGTCAGTTAAGGCAGCTCCAACCCACAGTCCACTCACAGGAGGCTGCCCTCAGCCTCAGCTTCCCGGACTGTAAAAAGAGGGGTGAAAAAGAGGCAACCCTGCAGGGCTGTGGTCAGAAGTGAGCAAGTTAATGACTCAGAGTGCTTGCGGCAGACCCAGCTGGCAGAGAGTGCTACTTCCCATGCCCGCTGATCCCACCACAGCTAGAGGGACTGAATCCTCCTGACAGCTAAGGCTTTTGACCTTTTGAAGCAGTTGGGAGAAAAAGCAAAAGAGGAGGAGTATTCTTCGGTGTGTGAAAATGTTCCAGAATTCAGATTTCAATGTCCACGAGTAAAGATTTGTTGGAACCTGGCCACACCCACTTGGCGAAGAGTCATCTGCTGGTGCTTCTGCCCTGTAACAGCAGAGTCAAGTAGTTGGAACAGAGGTGGGGTGTGATCTGCAGAGCTGAAATAGTGACTCTCTGGTCTTGGCAGAAAAGGTGTTCTGGAGACTTCCCTGGTGGTCTAGTGGCTAAGACTCCATGCTCCCGATGCAGGGGGCATGGGTTTGATCTATGGTCAGGGAACTACATCCCACGTGCCGCAATTAAAGATGCCCAATGCTGTAGCTAAGACCTGGTGCAGCTAAATAAATCGTTTTTTTTAAATGTGTTAAAAAAAAAAAGTGTGCTGACCCCACTGTTAAACAGTCACAGATGATAAAAAGGAAGAGCCCCATCTCTGGTGATTGCTTGCAGCCAGGACATCTGGGAAGGGTGATCTCACCTCCTGAGGGTTGGAGAGGTCTGAGGGGTGCTGGGGTGCAGGGGGACCCCACGCTCCTGCCCTCTCCACACAGCGCATCTTGGAGGACAAGGAGAACCCGCTCCCCGCCGCACTGGTCCAGCCCAGCACTGGGAAACTTCGCTGGTTTCTAGACGAGGCAGCAGCCCGGCTCCTGACCGTGCCCTTCGAGAAGCATTCCACTCTGTAACCCGTGCCGAGAGATGCCACCGCTGTGACTGTGCAGTCCCAGTGGCCTGGGACCTTCTGGGGCGGGGCCCCCCGCCAGCCCACTCCAGGCTTCAGTTTTGAAAAGCTGAGTGGCGCCACTGGAAGCCAGTAGGCTCTGGCCACCAGGCCCGCCCAGGGGCTTAGCCTGTGGGCCGTGGCCCTGGGTGACTCGGATATTAAAAGGAGCATCTGTTTGAATTTCCACTGTCTTGTGGTCCTTGGTGGGTGGTGGGACCATCGGTCTCCAGGTGGTGCGCCTGACTCGTAACAGACATCCCAGCCTGTGGAGGGCAGGGATGGGCATCTGGCTTGAGTGTCCTGGGCCTGCCATAGCCAAGTACCACATGTCAGGTGTCTTAAAACAATTGAGGTCACTGTCTCACAGTTCACAAGGCCAGAAGCCTGAAATCTAGGTGTCAGGAAGGTTGGCTCCTTCTAGAGGCTTTGCAGGAGAGTCTCACAGGTCTCTCGTGGCTTCTGGTTGCCGCTGGCAGTTCTTGACCTTTCTTGGCTCATAGGCGCATCACTCCAGCATCTGCCTCTCTTGTCACATGGCCTTCTCTGTGTGTCTTTCCGTGTCCTGTCCTTTTCTTTTTTTCTTTTGGTTTGTCCTAATTTTTTCTTTGGCCATGCTCCTAGGTTTATGGCATCTCAGTTCCCAGGCCAAGGATTGAACCTGGGCCACAACAGGGGAAGCCCAGAATCCTAACCACTGGGCCACCACTCACTCCCATCCTCTCCTGATAAGGACCCCTGTCCTGGGACATAAGGCCACCCTCAGTCCTAAATCTTGAGAGTTCGTCTCAAGAGCCTGAATTCGTTATGTCTATAAAAATGCTTATTCCAAATAAGATCTCATTCTGAAGTTTCAGGGGTTAGGACATGGGCTTAACTTTTTTTTTTTTTAACGGTATTAAAATAACACATAACATAAAATTCACCATCTTAACCATTTTTATACAATTCAGTGGTTTCAAATACATTTACGTTTTTAAGCAGCCATCACTGCCATCCATCCCCATAACTCTTTTCATCTTGTAAATCTAAAACTCTGTATTTGGGACTTCCCGGGTGGTCCAATGGCTAAGACCCTGTGCTCCCAATGCAGGGGGCCCGGGTCCAATCGCTGGTCAGGGAACTAGATCCTACATGCTGCAACGGAGACCCAGTGCGGCCAAATAATTAAATAAAAATAATATATTTGTATAAATGTGTGTATATATTTATTTATTTAAAAACTGTATCTTATTAAATGCTCACTTTCTATTCTCTCCTCTCCCCAGCCCTGGCAAGCACCATTCTGTTTTCTGTCTTTATGATTTTTTTTTTTTTAAGTATAGTTGATTTACAATGTTGTGTTAGTTTCCACTATACAGTACATTATTCAGTCACACATGCATATACATTTTCCATATGCTTTTCCATCCATGGTTTACCGCAGGATATTAAATGTTGTTCTCTGTGCTATACAGGAGGACCTTATTGCTTATTCTCTATCTTTATGATTTTGACTACTCTTAAGTGCTTCATATAATTAAAATCATACAGTATTTGTATTGATGTGATGGGCTTATTTCACTCTGCGTGGTGTCCTCAGGACTCATCCATGTTGTAGTGTGTGTGAACTTCCTCTTTAAAATATGAGCATATTTTAGTTATTTATTCATCAATCAGCAGACACTTGGGTTACTGCTGTGTTTTGCTATTGTGGATAATGCTGCTGTGAACAAGGGTGGACAAATATCTCTTCCAGAGCCTACTCTCAGTTCTTTTCAATAGACATCCAGAAGTGGAATTGCTGGGTCATGTGCATATGGTAATTCTATTTTTAATTTTTGGAGGACCCTCCGTATTGTTTTCCATAGCACTTGTATCATTTTTACATTCCTGCCAACAGTACACAAGGATTCCAATTTCTCCACATCCTGGCTCACGCTTGTTTTCTGGTTTCTTGATAGTGACCTGTAGATGTTATCCTTTGGGGGGACACAGTTCAACCCTGTCCACACTGACTTGACCGAACTCCCGCTGCAAACCCAGGGCCAGGGTGACTTCTGCAGCTGGCCCTGCTGCAGGTCTGCTCAGAACCTTGAATGCCCAAGGCACTGTCTTTTTGCCTCAGGGCCACAGCATTTCCCCAGTGTGTCTGCTTATGGCCCACCCGGCTCCAGGGGCCAGGGCAAGCTGGTGGGCAAGGGGCATGGGAACTGAAACCTCAAATCCGAAACCACAGAAAGTGAAGTTTCTTTCAACATCTTGTCTGGGTTGATCGCTCAGATGTGAGAGTGAGGAAGTGGGACCAATTCTGAACGGAAACCGAGGAAGGTGGAGGAGAGGTTTGGAAGGAAAGCAGCCCAGCCATGACCTTGGGCAACAGCAGGTGTCCTGACCCCTGAAGCCGTAGGCAGAGGCTGAGAAGTGGAGGGAAAGTGATGAGACAGTTATGAAGACCCCATGTGGAGGGCCCTGCCTGAGGCGTGTCACTTCTGTACCCCTCTGTTCCTGCTCCAGACCTGCCTGTGCCTCCCCTTGCATTCATGGGAAACCCATCCTTCTCACTTGACCCACAAGCCCCCATGTGGCCCCTGCAATTCCCCACCCTCCTACCTCACATCTACCCCCCATTCACTCTCCTCCAATCCATCCACCTTGTGTTCTTCCTGGAACCAGCCAAGTCCATTCCCACCTCAGGGCCTTTGCATGTGTTGTGCCTGCTGCTCAGTATTCTTTTTCATCCAGCTTTTTGCACGGCTTGGCCCTTGTTTCCTTTAGATCTCGGTGCACCATAACTTCCCTGACCCCTCCTTGCCCCTAGCATTTTCTATTTTTTCCTATTCCATGTTTTTCCCTTATCCATACTTTTCTGACAGTTTTGTTGTTGTGCTAACCAATGGTCCATGGGGGCAGGACCGTGTGGTCTGTTTTGCCCATGTCTGCATCCCCTGCTCAGGGATGGCACTCAGGCTATTATGGAGTGATGTTGAAAACAGAAATTCTGGGGAATTGGTGAAGATTACAGTCAGATGCTCCTGGTTTAAACAAAATGGAGATTTAGCTTTTCCTCTGGAGGGAGGCCACCCAGAACTGGTGGAGCAATGTCATGAACTCTTGGGGGACTCTGCAACTGACATCATAGTTGTGCCATTGTCATCACGTGAGTTTTACCTCGTGGTCCAAAGTGGTTGCGTATGCTCCAGCCATCATGTCCATGTTGCACCCACTGGAATTTGATGCTCTCTTCATCTGAAATCCTGTGAAAACCCCATCTGATCACATTTCAGTCTGAAATGTAGGCCTTCCTTCCTCCCTGCCTGCCTTTCTGTCTTTCCTCCATCCCTCCCTTTCTTCCTTCCATTGCCAAACACTGAGGACTGCTTTGTGCCAGGCAGTGGAAAAACAGGTGAAGGGGTAAGGAGACCCAACTATTTCAGCACAGTCCTCTGCTGTAGACAGGTAAAGCAGGACCCCAAGGGACATGTCCCACCTGCCTACAGCAGAACAGTGGCGCCCCTAGCACGGACCCCAGGACTGGAGGTGTCAGTCCAGTTCTGTCTTCCCAACCTGGGGCTGGACTAGGCCTGAATCCTTTTGGGCCCCAGAATCACCCCGTGTGGGTACAGATGAGGGAATAGGTACATGATTTAGATGCCCTATCCCTGCCTTCTCCCCGCTTCCCTGCCCTCCCAACACTAACCGTTGCTCTCATGTGCTGCCAGATGTCTGCCCTTCATCCACCCTCCAAGTCCAGCTAGGTCTTTTTTCTCCACCCGCACCCTGGGGCAGCCCCTACAGAAACCACCAGTTCTGGGGAACTTGGCCCAGGGGAAGCGAGAGGACGCAGGTGCAGGGTGAGGCAGGCGGGGCAGGGGCAGGGCAGAGTGGGGAGCAGGTATCCCACGCGCACACACATCAAGACTGTGCTCTGGCTTTGGATCCCAGGCGGCTGGTCTTGCAGCATTTGGGCCCCTCAGGTCACCTTGCTCCCAGGTGGCCCCTGAGCTGAGGAATCTGTGGCGTTGTGGGGAACAGAGGGGTGTTTACTTCATTCAGAGGAGCCCAGGAGACGGCAGCAGGATGGGCGGGCGCCCCTCGAGCCCCCTGAACAAACAGCAGCAGCAGCACCTGAAAGGTGAGTGAGGTGGGAAGGAGCCCGATGTTGGCAGGTGGGATTTAGGGCTGGGTTGTCAGCTACACAGGATGTCCTGTTAATGTGAATTCTAGAAAAGCAATGAATACTTATTTTAGTATCAGTATGTCTCAGATTTTGTATGAGGGCATATTTGTGCTGAAAAAAAGTATTCCTTAGTTACCTGAAATTCAAATTTAATTGGTGTCATGTACTTTTATTTGGTTCAATGTGGTAATCCTACTTGGGGCATGGGTTCAGTTGTGAGGGGGGTGCATGGGGCCAGGAGGGAGGTGCCCCGAACCTGGCCAGACATGGAATGGTCCTCTCAGGTGGGCAGGGACCAATAGGTCCCTCTGTGTGGACCTCAGGGACTGAGTCACAGTTCTCCTCTCGAGACAAAGAAGGGCCAGCGTCCTTCACACTCCGTCATACGGCTGAGCACTCACTGTCACGCGCACTGGGGATATCGGGGCTCATAGACCAAGAAACAAGGTCAAGTTATCATTACATGGATGGATTCAATAAGCTACTCTGCAGAGTGTTGAACTTTTTTTCTGTAGTGGCTTAAGCAAGATATTTATTCTCTGTCTTATAGAGGGTTAGAATCCCTGAAGAAGGAAATGGCAATGCCTGGGAAATCCCATGGACAGAGGAGCCTGGCAGGCTCCAGTCCACAGGATTGCAAAAGAGTTGAACGTGACTGACTGACTAAACAACCACGACATAGAGGGGAACAGTGGGAGGCAGGCTGATAAAAGACAACCCATGTTCTCCATCTCATGATTCTACCATGCGTGGCGTCTGTGCCTGAGGTCACCGCCTGACCCAGAATTGCTGCTCAAGCTCCAGTC